GATCTTGAGGGATTACCTTTGTGAAGATTAGGCTGGTCCTAAGTTCATTAAGTAATTCGCTACAGTGATCATGTACAAGTTTTAACCACTAAGTTGAAACAGAAATTATATGTTTATTCAAAAATTAGATCCAATCTGACATCTTCTGTTTCAAATATCTATCTTCATGCCATTATACTCTCAACCATGTCGTACTGTTTACCTGTTTGGTCTCTTACAACAAATGAAATCTTAGGACCCATAGTTAGGCTCTACAACAGGGCCTACAAAATTCATAAAAAACTTCCTGGTTGGACTCATCACTGTACAGTTACACTGTGTACACTGTACACGGACTAGTTCTAGGAGCTAACGCTAAAAACAAAGGCAGTAACCAGGAAGTGGAAGGGAGGAGCTTGGCAAGAATTTTACCGGAAATACAGTATGTCATTAATGACCGTGGCATATAGGCTATTGTCTTTAAATTGTCATTAAAAATAAGATTCAGACAGATTTTCTGAGCGTGTTCCCAGTTTGTGAAACAAATCAAGCCACATCTCTGGAACCGCTCGTTCTATCAGGATAGAAAGTGTCGCCTAAAAACTAAGAATGTTTGTGTGACGTCACATATTCTGCTTAAAAGCTGTGAACTATATTACTGCAATTGTTAGTTTAATACAGCAGCTTTTATTTGAACAGTTTATCAGTTATTTTGAGAGAAACTTTAAAATGAAGTGTCAGTATAAATTCACCGTCGGTGCAACAAATTAGGGATGTCCCGATCCAGATTTTTTGGCTCTCGATACATTCCGATTTTTTTCAACGATTAGTCTCCCGATACAATCCGATTTTTTTTTTTTTTAACGATTAGTCTTTCCGATACCGACCCTATAGCTAGACCTGGGCAGTATGACCCAAATTTTGTATCATGGTATTTTCAACAATTACACCGGTTTCACGGTATTTGACAGTGTTTTTTTCCCTCACAGCTGATAATAAAATGTACAAACTTTGCTTATAGACTTTTTTCTTTTACTGTACCTCTGTATCACTGTTTCCCTCCTCTTGTACGTCTTTTCTTCTTTGCCTGGTTGTAGACAGTAATCATGCATTTAGGTCCGATCATGAAGGGTTGAGAAAAAAAATCATTATCTGGTCTATCGTTACGTGTTAATAAAACTTAAAAAGACGACTCACCTTGCACACCAGTCAACTCCGCTTCTCTATAAAACTACTTCCCCCCTGGCTTTTCACAATAGAAGCACGCTAGAGTCTCCATGCAATAACGTCTCCGTTATAACGCAGCACGTTAAATCTAACCGTGCACGTCACTGAAGAGTTGTTTACTATTCATCGATGGTGAAAATGGGATTTTTTTTACATCAGACCATATAAGCAGCTGAAGTACACCACCCGCCGCCAGTTGTTCCAACAATAATGTTAGCATGCTAATGCGCTTAGCGGTGCTGCGAGGAAACGTGTCCCCAGGGAAACAGCTCACTGGCGGCCGCGACGAAACGTTCCGCACGTGTTCAGGCTATTTACACCAGTATTCAGAAAATTCATATCATAACAAAAATAAAAACTGGTTTTCGGTACAAAACGGTATACCGCCCAGCACTACCTGTTTCTTTATTTCTTTATTTCTTTCCAAGTGACAAGGATGGTAGTATTAAAGCGAGCCCTGCTGTTCCCACCATGAGAAACATCCAGTTTGCAGATTTTGCAAGATGCAGTTTCAGCATCGTTTTCCATTGAAAAGTGTTCCCACACTGTGGACATGGATGCATACTTGTGTGCGTCTTGACTTCTTAACAGCAGTTGTAAAGCATGATGATGCTGAAAACTGTCACAAAAACTGGATCGGCCCGATCACATGACTAAAGCCCATTCTACCCGATTTTTAAAAATGGCCATATCTGCCACCAATACTGAGTCTGCGATCGGGACATCCCTACAACAAATGTAAAAATCCACAGAATAAACGCTGAGCCCAAACACTGAAGCAGATGTTGTCCTCTCTGTGTGCCTCTGGTGGGTCAGGCCAGGCCGTCCCGGCAGGTTCTCACGTGAGACTAAATCTGCAGACGGGGGAGAGGGAGGTGAGGCTGGGAGAGGAGCAGCTCAAATACTGGACTCAGGAGCACAGGTGGGTCCGCTGCTCCACCTGTTATCCTCACAGCTCAGGCTGAAGCCTGAGGCAGCAGGAGGGAACCAGCTGTAAACATCTGTGTTCACAGGGAGAACAGCAAGTCCTCCTTGGACCCCGATGAGCTGAAGAGAGCCATGAAGAAGATCAAGGAGGATCTGAAGGAGGCCAGCAGAGACTCAGAGACTCAGGTACAGTCCCGTGTTTAACCCCACAGTGTAAAGAACAAGTCACAGTTACAGCTGGGATTGTCTGCAGGACTCTGTGAAGTCCAGGTTCCGTCCTCTGGAGGAGCTGAAGAGGGACATGGCTCAGCTGGACCTTCAGGTGGAGACGGATGTTCAGGTACTGCAGTTTCTGCTCCACATGCATTAATGAGTGGAAACGAGCAAACTCTTCTTATTTTCCAAGTGTTTTTGTTCTCTGAGGACAACCAAACATTTAATACATGAAATAAAAACTGAATATTCTTTTAGAACTTGATTTTGTCAGTCTGGAGGAGCCGCAGTGTCAGGGTATCACTCAGCTGATTCCACACCTCCTGAGACCCCGTGTCCTCATATGGGGACATTGCATTTTTGCCTCTCTACCCATGGTGCATCATTTTTCTTCCACTTTAACACATTGTCCTCATTAATAGACACTACCAGCACCCTCTGGTGGTCCAATGACAATATTACACTCATTTAAGTGAAAACAAGATGGAGTGGATCCCAGTAAAAAGTTTCTACAACAACTCTGGTAAGAAAAATGACCAAAGTAAAAATCCAAGTTACATTTCACGCTTGAAACCAACTTATTTATGCACAGTTACGTCTTTAGACATGCAAAAATAAACTTTTTTTTTTTACAAATGAAGCAAAGTAAAATGTCTGTAAAAGTAAAGTCCTCATTTGAGGACATTGGGACTATAATTTTGTTATTAACGTATTTATTCGTGTATAATACGTAAAATTTAATCCATAAAATCATCCATAAAGTTGGGGGGGTAGTATTATACTCAGATAAATATTTTTACATATGCATTTTAACTGAAATATCGGCAAAATTATTGAGTCCGGAAATGAGACCGTGTCGTAAAAAGCAGTTGAAACGAGCTCACCTGTGACACTCCTCCATGCTTCAGAGTGAGATAATAACAGATCCAAGCAGAAGACATGATGTGAAAAAAGGGGTAAAAAGCAGTCCTGAACCTTAGTAATGATAACAAACTAATGACATTAGTGTGTGACCGAGCCGCTCCTCGAACAACAAACACACACATGTTCGTCTGTAATGGCTGCCGTCTACCGGTGTTCTGAAAAAGTTTGTATCCCTGAAAAATGTTTCCCCACCAGAGTGGCCACTCACGAGTACGAGGTAATCTGCTTTTCCCCCACAAGATGGTCCAAATCTCATGTGAAGTCTCTGACTTTTGTGTTGGCGCCTCCTGGTGGACTATGTGTAAAATGCCAGAATTCATATGATGCTGCTACAGCTGATATATATTTGTTGTCAAAATACCTTTTAGTACATGTTGTTAAAATAAAATGAACAATCCAATGATCACTTTACTGATGTGTATAAAGACTGCAAAGGCTGAAAAATCTTGAAGTCTGTATGAAATTGGAGGTAGTTTGAGGATTAAATTTTTTATGCTTTTTAAGCTCAAAAAAGGGGGGCCTCGTATTATATATGAGATCATATTATACACGAATAAATACAGTAATTGTGCCATGAAGTAGGACAAACCGGCAAATATTTAGAACAGTTTACAAATGTAAATAGTGTAAGTGGTTATTTGGTCACGAAGTTTAGTTAAACAAATCTGGAAATATTTAGAACAGTTCTAGTAAATATTTCTTACCAGTGATACATTTATTCAACCAGTTAATTATACCAATGATGTTCTGGTTAAATGGTCTGTGATTTCCTGCAATTACATCATGTAATATGTTCTTCAAACTGAAAAGCAATCTGAAAGTTGTAATGATGATGATGATGATGATGCACTAATCTTGCTCTGGTCAACAGCTGGCAGCTGTTTTGCCAAAATAACTAGGAAAATGGAACCACCAGAAAGACTATCATGAAGTTTCTCAGGTTTTGCACGGTCATTTCTTAGGTGTTCCTCAAAAAGTGACATTTTGAGACCCAGTGTCCTCATATGAAGACATCTTTTTTTTTTTTGCAAGAAACACTTCCTGTACCATGACAGGGTCTAGTTATTATACTTATTAGGTCCTACTAATCCCTTGTTTCTTAGAGAAAGAAGAAATGCACATCCAGAAAAAACTTGGGTCGCAGGAGGTTAAAACCTCCAGGAGTGTCCTCTGCAGTCTGAAAGACCCGGGTCTGCTCTCAGACTTCCTGTCAAGGCCCTGTCACACAATAGCATTGAAACATTTGTCAAGTAAATTACTAATAAGTTGTATATTTGATCGTTTAGTTAGAATTAAAGTATATGCAAGCCTAGAAGAGATTTCCAGTTGATGTTTTTAATTCCATCTTCACCGTAGATGTCTCCAACATTTTCACAAGTTGTCTAAAGCAGGACAGGGCCTTAAGGTCCAGACTGAGTGTGTTCTCCAGGCTGACAAAGAACTGGTTCAGATCATCTGATGTTGGGTCTTTGTGGACTTGTCCCACATGATTCCGATGTTCCTGTTGAACCAGCTGAGGGCTTTGAGTACCAGGGTTTGTCTCAGGTTTCAGGGCTGAGCTGAGCTTGTGTTGTCAGATCATGAGGCGCCTCCTGGACCAGTTCAACAGCACCGACTTAAGCACCGAGCAGAGACTGGGTATCCTGCAGGAGCTGGAGTACCTGGTCCATCAGGTAAGGCGTGGATCCACAGGACCTGTATGGTTCTTAGCAGGTTCTTTAACTGTGTTGTGGTGTTGGTCAGGTGGATAACGCTCAGACGCTGTGCTCCATGGGAGGGCTGAGCTTCATCCTCCAAGCTCTCAACAGTTCTGATGTCCAGCTGCAGGAGAACTCTGCCTTGGTTCTTGGTTCTGCTGTGGCCAGGTACTGAAGCCAACACTGACTCTGCAGTGGTTCTGATCCAGCTGCTTGTGTGTGAGCTGAGTGCTCTGCTCATGTTGCAGTAACCCGGTGGTCCAGGTCAAAGCTGTGGAGGAAGGAGCTCTGCAGACTCTTCTGACCACTCTGGCCACGGCTCAGCTCCACAGCGTTAAAAAGAAGGTACGGCGTTAACGGGTCACAGCGCAGAACACGCACCTGTTCTCTGACGGTCCCCGTTCCTCCTGCAGGTCCTGTTCGCCGTGGCCTCTCTTCTACGCCACTTCCCCTTTGCACAGCAGCACTTCCTGTCACGTGGGGGGCTGCAGGTTTTATCAGAGCTGTTCCAGAAGGACGGAGGAGGAGTCCTGCGCTCACGCATCGTCACCATGCTGCACGACCTGATCAGTGAGAAGGTACTGCCTGAGACTAAAAACAGCCACCATCGCTCCTTTCCACTAGGGCCACTTAGTGTCGGTACGGTTCGGTATGGTTCCAAGCCATTTCCATTGGGTCAGATTCATGGAACCAGGGGTCGGATTTATAAAACTGGCGTACGCACAATTTGAGCCCAGAAACTTGCGTACGCCACTTTTTACGCCAAGGTTGTGATTTATAAAATCCAAACTTGACATGAAAATGTGTGGTGCCTCAGCCAGCTCTGACCCATGCGTACGCTCATTTTGGAGACATGAAACTGCGACACGGTGAAGTGAGGAATTAGAGCCACACTGTGTAATGATCACTGTCAGATATTTAATTTACCTTCAGAATCAGACTTAGATTTTTATTCAACTTTATCATCAGCTTTATTAACAGTAATATTTATGCTTCTGCTGCTGCTGAGCCATGAGGACCTTTGAAATAAAATAAAAAAACTTAAATCTTAAATAAAAGTTACCGTGCGCAACTCCATTCATCTGCTTCCTCCTCAGACGACACTGACCCACAGACCCCTCCCTGACC